TTCTACACGGTGCTGTAATAGCAGAGTTATACACCTTTGATTATTTAAACTGCAATAATCCCTCCTTTCGTTCTTTCCTTTGCTACCCTCAATAGTATTCTCTCCCAAAGCCGCTTCGTCCTCTCGCTGAGCGCCCCTCCCAATCTAGCGTGGCATTCGTCATTGTTGCCATACTGCTCAAAACACCGTCTAATTCCGGTTGCCACGACTCCGCCTCTCCAACGACTGCATTAACAGCTTGCTTGTTGGTGAACCAAGGCTGCTCTTTTAGCCCGTGGTTATACAAACCGTGTCAATATAAGCCCTGTGTTGCAGGGGCGCCTTCAAAAGATCACTAACATGATGGATCTGTACGGTTACACGCCATGCCAGAGCACTTCTCCACAAGATGAGGAGCCGCCGCCACTGCCTTCCCTAGATTTCGGCGACGATATGGCTTCGTTCATACTGTCGACCAAAAAAGTCTGCAGGATCTGCAGCACAAGGCGGAGTAGCGGAAAACGAAAGTCCCGAAAAACTGCATTGCTGCACCGCCTACCAAGCCTTGACATGGTGCTTAAGTTATTATACGTCACCTCGGCCATGAATAACGGCAAGTTTAAACATTGCGCCACTGCTGGATCTAACCACGGAAGCCGCAGCCGATCATATCAACACTATGTCGCATCACGATATCCGGCGCAGCAACGCACTTTTGTGCCGCTTTGCCACGCGCTGCAGATCCTGCAAACTTTTGCGGCTATTAGCACGTACTGCAATGCTTGTCACTTGTTACCCGTCCCATACTAATGAAAGTATCATTGCAGGCGCATGTGGGGCCTATAGATGGCTAGTGCAAATGCGGAGGATAACGAAGTGCTGCAGGTAGGTGGTGGAAGTCGTTTCAAAAGGGTTGATGACATCATCTCACGGCACACTTATTTCCCAAGCATTTGCCTGAATCATGGAGTCCTCAAGGCAGCGTACTACGCTTTTTGGGAGCTCGGCATGTGAATCAAAGTGTTCCATCTTTTCATTTGTTTAGTCGACGCTCTGGCATTCAAGCACTGCACACAGATGAATAAAAGCCAGTGCAAAACACTCAGATTCAGTTCACAGTTGCGTCACGGGTTGCAGTAGCTGATTCGCGAGTGGGCGCACCACGAACAAGCAGTGCGAACAGCTGCTTGCAGACTAACCAGAAGCCGTAGGCTTTTGCTAAACCAATCACAGCCTATTGGTATTGTGCTTCAGAGATATTCATACGGGGCGTCATGTGGAGGTCCAAAAACCTGGAAAGGAGGAGGGATTGTTTCTCCGAATTTGTGGCACGCCGGCAGCTCTAGCGCTGCCATGTGGAGAACCGTTCATTGCGATGGCTTTCTGTGCACAATGCCCGTGTTTACTTCAAATGTTTGAAAAAATATCGAAGGTGGCTTAGGGGCCCTTAAAAAAATCAAGGACTGAAAATTACGCACTACTGCACAAGCAACCAAACTTCAAACGTGGCACGGAGCGACGTTTTTTATTTTATTTATTTATTTTATTAGTTATAATTTTTTATTTTATTTATTATTATTTATTATTTACTTTATTTATTTATTAAATCAATAAAAAATAAAACATAGAACCAGGGAAAATTCGCATGAAGTATCCCTTGATCCGTGTTAATTGCTTAATTCAAAGTACAGTCAACTGCCGATTTTTCAGACACCCGAATTTTCGGATATGCCCGATAATTCGGACATCTTCGCAGCACCACCGCGAGCCCCATAGAATAAATGCATACAGAAGTCTAAAATTTCGAACGCTCCAACCCACTGGAGTCCAATTTTCCGGACTTTTTGACGCGACGGAAGGTCAGAAACCACCACTGACCTCCAGTGGAAACCACCACAACTGGGTCACACGTGATTACGATCGCATAAATGAGTGCGCCCGTCTACTGTGGCGGCATCTGTTGCTTGGACTCGTTGATTGTTAGCGGAGAAACACACACGGCCTCCGAGATTCCTAACACTGGCCATGTTTATCGTGCAAGGGTGCTTTGGTGAAAATCAAAACTATCTACCCGGAAATTTTTTGGCGCCAATAAAGCTCCTTTTGCTTTAGCGCTTGTGCTCGCGCTTGCCACTCTGGCTTCCCGCGCAGCGCTTTCGCGAAGCGTTTCACCACTTCGAACTAGAACTAACCATCACACACCGATTTGGTCTGGCCACACTGGCTATCTTAAATGTTTACCAGCGCCACCTCCGGAGTACCCGAGGCACCGTCCACTGCCGTCGAGCCGTTTTGTTTACGCAGCCCCCATGGTGTTTAACTAGCCTAGCGTGTGGTTGTGCGATCGTGTGAAGTGTGCTCTGCAACGCTAAGCCTCGGTGCTTTGACGCTCGTCAGCAAACTCTTTTGTTCACATCGTGAGGATTTTGCTTGCCTGCGATGCCTTCGTCTGCACTCCGCCTTCGTCGTCCTCGCCGATGGCATCGAAGCGCAGAAAACAGTACCGTCGGTTAACGGTGGAGAAGAAAGCCGCCATTATTAAGTTAGTGAAGAGTGGCCGATCGCAGGCTGACGTGAGCAAGGAGTTTGGCATTTACAAGCAAACAGTTTCATTACCCTTGCTTAGATCGATGACCCTTGCTCAGATCTGACATGACCCTGGCTCAGATCGAGGCGAATGTGATCACATGCAAGCGGAACGCCGTTCAAACAAGGATCAACAAGTTTTTCAAGCCACTGCAGCTCAAACACCGGCTGCCCAGATGGCACCCGCTGTTGGCTGCATGCATTTTTTTTTTTTAACGGCTCTTTTTAGAGCCACCCCACTGATGCTTTGGCAGAGTTCCAGAAGTCTGGTACATTGACCTTGACCCTCTTGATCCGAGAAATATCAATGAAATGGTGCGTTTTTTGCTTGCATTGAGAAATATTAGCAAAATGGTGCAATTTTTTTGGCTCGCATTGAAAATTATTAGTAAAATAATGTGTTTTTTTTTTTTTGCTTGCATTCATGTTTTCGGACTGCCGGAATTTTCGGACGGTTTTTCGCTTCCTAGAGGGTCCGAAAAATCGGCAGTTGACTGTAATGATTCATTCAAGCTGACGATTGGTTGAATAACTACAAGGCTATACTAAGATACTTTCGTCTACAAACACACCTCGTGTATAGCCTAAAATGTTTGACATGCACGGTTAAGAGTTGAGACCACTGCACTTCCGCGACGCACTTAAGATACTTGAGAGTCCTTCCAGGACTCGGGATCATACATAGCTTACGAACAGAAGCATTAGAGATGCAGAAGGAACATGCTTATATCGCAGTAGCACATTGCACAGCGGAAACAGTGTGTGTTGCCTTGAAGTTTCTCAACTCCAAGGATCAATTCGACCTTATGCTTTAATGTATAAAAGCTTGCCTGAGTTTCCTTGAAAGTAATTTCACCCTCGAGATATAATAAATGTTCACGGGTACATTCAATCGTATTATTCAGTTCTGATGCATGCCGTAGAGCTGCAGTGTCATTACCGATCTGACACCTACACTTGGGCGAGGGCACCCCTAGTGGCTGCTCCTCTCCCCGTATCTAACTTTCATGGAAGCTTTATGACTAGCAAATGTATTGAAGGGCTCTAGTAACAGTAATGTTGATGACACTTCACTGGCTTTAGTTTTTCAAGGAAGTGTTCACGATGCATTGCTAAGTTTACCGTAATTACTCAAATCTAACGCGCACCTTTTTTCCGGTTAAGCGAGTTCATAAATCGCATGCGCGTTAGAATCGAGTACGAAAAAAAAATGAATACAGTCATTCTATTGCCATCAACATTTCCAAAATGGCCGCCCCCTACGTGCGTCGGCATGGCGCGTCGGCCATTTCTGCCTATGTGTTTCTCATGTGCGGCACTTCGTACGTGTTCTGAGGAGTTCGTCATCTTGTAGTGCATTAGCATCGACGGCATAGAAGGGCCGACTCCAAAAGCTCGACTAGTGCGCCACGATGCCGCTTTTAAAAGAAATTTCATCGCGTGTGCCAAAATAGGCGGAAATCGGGCCGCATCGCGGTCGTGCGAAGTTCCCGAAACGTGCGTGCTGGACTGGCGGAAACAAAAGCAGAATATTGTCGACAGCCAACATTCACGCAAAGGCTTCAGTGGACCCCAGCAGGGTCGGTCTCCGCAAATCGAAGAGCTGCTCGGCGAGTATATGATTGAGCAGTGAGCGGCCCGTGACGACAGAACTGCTCCGAGTGCAGGCTATGCAGTTAGCCTTAGAAAAAGGGCTAATGCGGAGCCAGTTTAAAGCGAGCAGGTGCTGGCTAACTAACTTTATGAAGAGGAAAGGCTTTTCCCTCCGAAGGAGAACAGGCATATGCCAAAAGTTGTCGGAGGAGTACGAAGAAAAGCTTCACAGTTTTCAGAGGTTCGTCCTAAACTAGCGGCACAACGGCTACCTGCTTGGGCAAATCGGGAATGCCGATCAGACGCCTCTTTACTTCGACATGCCTAGCACCAGAACTGTCGAGAAGAAGGGGGCGAAGCAAGTTCGCGTGCTGACATCGGCCACGGTAAAACTAGAGTGATGGCAATGCTCCATTGCACGTCAGATAGGCCCAAGTTTCTCCCGTACCTCATATTTAAATGGAAGACACTCGTGAAAGGAGTCAGTTTTCCCGAAGTGGTGTGATCGTGCGGGCCAGCAAGAAAGATGGGTGCGCGTTGCAATCGATGTCTTACGTTTTTTTTTTTTTTTTCGCGGTAGGAAATCGGGTGCGCGTTACAATCGAGGGCCCAGTACAATCGAGTAAATACGGTAATCCTGATACATGCTTTTGTGTCTGTAATATGCAACAGCACTAACTGAAGACTCTGATCTCATCATGTTCATTCTACTTTCAATGAGCATCACACATGATCAAATAATTGTGGATAATACTTCCCCCAAGCATAAGCATCCTACACAAGCGTTATTCGAGTGCTTGTAAAGGTTTTATGCAATATAAGAACAAAGGCAGCTGTCTCACCTGTTTTCGAGAGAGGCTTTATGCCGCTGGAGCCTAAGAAGACGCAGCTTCTTTTCTGCAAACCTGTTGGGAAACACTTGGGGTCACACTTGCATACTGTGAATTTAGAGATTCACAACACACTCAGGTTCAATAAGTTCGCTTTAAGAACACCTGTGCTTCACCTTACAGGAATGTGTGAGAAAATAATACCAACAATTTTTGTACTGTTATCAAAGAATGCTTCGCAAGCATCAACTTTGCAAATTTTGAATATTATTTCAGGGATGTCAAACTTGTTTATGAATTATTGCATCTTTCCAACTTACGCACTTTATTTGTGTGTGTGAATCAGCACTACTTAGTGGCTACTGGAGGCTGCTAACGACAAAGCCAGTCACCAAGATCAGTAAGTAACTTCTTTTTAGGATAAACATAGTTACAAAGTCACAGCCTAAAGGTGCAGGAAATGTCGACAAGTTCCGACCTGCTGACGAGTGCTCTAAACATTAGGTTGAGTTACTGAAGTATTTTATGCAGAATGGCAATATGCTCTGGTTCAGTGGTAGCGCTTTCCCGCTGTCGCGTGCATATGCATTGTGGTCTTTGTGATGTGTCCAGGAAGGTTTCCTAAACAGAATTAGGAGCACCGAGTATTTAATTTTTATTTATTTCATGAAGCAGAGCCTCAGTTCATTTGCCCCGCGCGGTGGTCTAGTGCCTTAAGGTACTCGGCTGCTGACCCGCAGGTCGCGGGATCGAATTCTGGCTGCGGCCGCTGCATTTCCGATGGAGGCGGAAATGTTGTAGGCCCGTGTGCTCGGATTCTAGTGCACGTTAAAGAACTCCTGGTGGTCGAAATTTTTGTAGCCCTCCACTACGGCGTCTCTCATAATCATATGGTAGTTTTGGGACATTAAACCCCACATATCAAAGCCTCACTTCATTTATTATGCACACGATTCTGATCAACATTCTTATCTTACACAGGGCTTTCTTCTCCATAGCATACTTGTTCGAGGAACAAGTTACGGAGAAACTTATGCTTCCCCAATGAACCAAGAGAAGAGGCTAAAAAAGAGAATGTGCAAAAATGAAAGAGATGCCGTGTTGAAGTTCTTGAGAGACTTGGCGGCAATTTTGTGGATTTTCTGTGTTGAGTACAGTCCTCACAGACTGATACGTGACATCGATTTCTTTAGTGCAATGACTGCTATTAGCAATTGTGCGACACAAACGTACTATGCTGTTACAAGACTGGCAGCTAAAGTAACGTTGATAGAGAACCCCAAGTCTACGAGTTAATATTACGCCGATAGGACACAAGCTGGAGACCGTGGTAATGAGAGCATGTACACTATTAAGCTCTAAATTCTTACGCTTCATTTCGTAAGTACTGCACTTATGTCCAACTAATCTTTTTGCACTAAAGGACAGACTGTAACGCAGTTTGCAAAAGCTAAGAACTTAACTACGCACATTACAGGAACACTTCACTCCTAGTGAAAAATGAAGAAATACTCTCTAACTTCATTATAATAAAATTGCATCTTACAGAAATTAAGTTTGTCATATTCGAAAATTTGTTATAAAGCTAGATTGCCAAGACTATTACAAGACTGTTTTTCATTTACTTCGTCATAGCCAACATTTCATTATACCTTGGTTCGTTATATTGAGGTTTGAGTTGATTGAGTTGTGGGGTTTAACGTCCCAAAGCCACCATATGATTACGAGAGACGCCCTAGTGGAGGGCTCTGGAGATTTCGACCACCTGGAGTTCTTCAACGTGCACCCAAATCTGAGCACACAGGGCCTACGACATTTCTGCCTCTATCGGAAATGCAGCCGCTGCAGCCGGGATTTGAACCCGTGACCTGCAGGTTAGCAGCCGAGTACCTTAGTCACTAGACACACCGTGGCAGTGCTATTGAAGTTTGAGTACACTAAAGCGTACATTCCTACAGTGAAAATTTATGTCTGCGCAAAATAATTCATTTGGTGTCTAACCTTTCAGGACAGCGTTCCTGGCTGCGGGTGAAGTCACCATTGCGAATGCACTCGTCACAGAAGAAGTTTGAACGCTGCTGTAGGCAAACTCGGCAGGCCATGGATGCACCATTAGAGCTGCGGCTGCTCTCAGACGACGAGCTGGGCACAGGGAACTCACGGGGAGCACTCAGTTGCAGCAGATCCATTGTCACTGCTGCAGCGCAGAGCACATTCGAAAATCATGTCATGTTTTAGCGTACAGCAGGGGCCAACAAAACTGCTGCCGCTTTGGCTGCTCCATTGAAAGGACAATGCTCGAGGAAACTAGTGACTACCTTACACGAACATTTCATTTTTTGAAAGCAAGCATCTGCTGCTTAGTACATACTCATTAAAAATCTATGTAAAAGCTCGTTTATCCAGACATCGTTAATTCGGAAATTCGGTTAACTCGGACTCGCGGCGTGGTTCTGGCAAAAGTGTGTATATTTCAATGAGGTCAAATGCTCATTAATTCAGAGAGATTTAGCCGCGCACAGCTCCGGAGAGGGCTATCGGGACTCCAGAGTCGCGCGATCTCGGCGGCTAGGAGGCTCAAGCAACGCTTGCCGTAACCAATGGCAGAACCGGAGTTTTGGAGAAACCGAAACCGAGCGAACTGCAGCAGAATATGACCATGATGATAGTGAATGAGGGGGAAGTGGCTAGGTGGCGTTAGTCACCACTCGGCGGAAGCGCTTGGGCCACTGGCGCATCCAGTGTCTACTAACAGCTGCTCACTACGCCCATGCTACGCCTACTGGTGTACTTCGTGTCTTGGTTCTTTGTGTTGTGACTTAGCGTGTTGCGGCTGTGTTTGTGCGTGTTGCCACCGCCGCCGCGCTTCATGGTGACCGTCACAGGAGTTAAGCGGCCACAGAAGCCAGCAAATGATCTCGAATGAAAGGTTATGATATTGAAAGAAGTGAGCGCAGGTGTTTCTCGACAGGAGATAATGAAAAAGCACAATGTTAAAAGAAGCACCTTAAGCAACTACGTGAAAAACAAATAAAAAATTTTTCGAGGCGTTTGACAGTGGCAAATTCACCGGAAAACGAAAACGACTAAGGACAGGCAGCACACCCGAAGCTGGAAGACGCAGTGCTGCGGTGGATAACAGACATGTGGAACAGCCAGCTTCCCTTGAGTGGACTGTTGATCTGTCAGCAAACTGAAAGGTATGCACTGAGAATGAAGATCGGATCTCTCAGTGCGTCTGAAGGCTGATTTGCTCGCTTTAGAGAAAAGCACGGGTTGGTCTTTCAAAACGTGTGCGGGGAAAAAGCAGCAGCGGATAAACAGCGTATTGCTGACCAGAAGACAACTGAGCTTCCCCAGTACCTGGCTCGTTATGAGCCTGCCAACGTTTTCAATGCGAATGAAGCGTCTCTTTTTTAAAGCCTTGCCGGAAAAAACGATCATGTTCAAGGGCGACCCGTACGTTGGAGGGAAGAGGAGCAAAGGAAGGATCACTGTGCTTTTCGCTTCGCATATATCGGGCACAGAGCGCCTGCCATTGCTAGTCATCGGGAAGGCACGTGACCTAAAATGTTTCAAGAACATTCACCCCTTTCCTGTGCAATATAGCGCCAACAGAAAGGCCTGGATGACTTCAGATATTTTCTAAGCTTGGCAGCACCAACTCGACCACCGCTTTTCTGCTAACAAGCGCAAGGTTTTACTTCTAGTTGACAACTGCAGTAGTCATACCAGAGTGACAGGGCTGGAGTGCATCGAACTTGTATTCTACCTGCAAACACGACGGCTGCTCTGCAACCGCTGGATCAAGGAATAATTCAGCACGTAAAAAGCAGGTACAAAAGCATGTGCTGGAATGGATCCTGCTGTGCAAGGAAGCAGGGCGAGAATGTGACGTGACTCTCCTGACAGCAATTCACATTTTGGCTCATGTCTGGAGCAAAATGCCACCCGCGGTCATTGCAAATTCTTTCCGGCACAGCAGCTCTGTCCGCCCTGACGACTCGGATATTCCTCCAGAGGCTACTTCAGAGGACACCCGCGAGCCCACTGGAAATATGGACGAGGTGAATGACACGTGTTTTGACTCTCTCCTTCCTGTGGCGTCCAGATTTTTTACTACGTCGCTATAGACTATCATGTTGCCATTGTTGGTCCGCTGACTGACGATGATATATTATCGGAAGTGCTTGAGGAGGACCAAAATCACTGTTCCGATGATGACGGCCAGGATGAGCTGACGCTACGTCGCCGCACCGTGCAGGAGGCCGCCGAAGCCCTCGCTCTCCTCAAGGAGTTCGGCATTCGTTCTCGCGACAGTGAACGTTGTGGGGTTTCGGCGGGGCGAGCGAGCGCATCGCCACGCCACGCTCCTGGAGTGAACGGACACAGTTGACGCGGTCGGTACAAAGCACACAACATACATACATTTATTAACTAATTTAGACGACGATATCGTCCGCCAAATGTTACATCAATTTTAACTAACACGCTACCATACAAACAACATAAAGCAGGGACACACTAAACACACAATAACATGATAAACATACACTAACACACCCAACACACTAGCACATACCCAAGGCGGCGTCGCCAACGCCTGACTGTACACGTGGGACCCCGGCGCGAAGCCCGCGGTGCCGAGCACCGGGGACCCGCGCTACAGACAACCGTTCGCGGCAGCCGCCACGCGCAGAAGAGACTCGCTCAACGCTCGCCCGCCCCCAAGGCCTGCCTTCCGCCAGGTGTCACCGCCGGCGCTACTACTCTACCAACAGTGGTACTCAAAGCGAACACAACGCCATGTATCGCCCGGCGGTGGTCACCACCGAAATAAAACCTTGGGGCGAGACATGTGCGTCATGCGGCGCAGATCACTTTACAGGGGGGGGGGGGGGGGTGTCAGCACCTCCACAATGTGCGCACCACCACGTGATGGGATTAAATAAGATCATTCTGTCAGAAATTCCGACGGTGAGGCAGGCAAAAATAACGCACTTTTTTAAGAAATAAAGGGTTGTCTGTGCCGTGTACGTTTTTTTTTTTTCATGGTCTATTTAATAATACGGAATTCAGTTAACTCAGACATTTTCTACGGTCCCGTGAGATTCGAGTTAACGAGCTTTTACTTAACACTTCTTACAAGATGCTAAAAAAATGTTACAACTACAGAGTAAAAATAAAAAATAACTGTGAATTCTTGAGCAAGCACCCGCTTTCTTTTTTTGGAAGATTTGAAACATGCACCAATGATCGCACAAGTCCTCTGCCTCCCCCCCGTCCCCTGCTATCATTTTTTTCAACCTGTTCTGCGATACGGAATTCTCCAGCAGAATTTACAAAGAACTCAAACCATGAGCCCCATTAGATATGTGCATAATTTCATAGTACTGTAAAAGTGTTTATTTGATGATCTTCCTCATAGTGAAGAACAGTCTCTTAGCACAAGCAGCATTATTTTAAATAGGTGTTGAAGAGGATGTTCGACTAGAAGTCGCTAGAAAGAATGGCCCATCACAGAGTTCCATCGTATTATTACAACTATCCCAGATATGAAAAGGGAGCTGCCTAGTGATTTAACAGCTTTCGACAATGAGCATGTCATCGTAGGTATTGAGGTGCTCTGCCTTAACAATGTTGAATCTTCAATGGGGCATGTCCGAAGTTATTCAATGTGTTCGATCAGATAGTTAACTGTGGATGTGCATTCAACAACAAGATCCAGGTGTTTATAATGATAATAAGCGAGCTTTTACGTTCCAAAACCACGATATGATGAGAGGCGCTGTAGTGGAGGACTCTGGAAAATTCGACCATGTGGTGTTCTTTAACGTGCACTGACATCAAACAGTGCGCGAGCCTCTATAGCGTTTCACTTAAACTGAAAGGCGACCACCGCGGCCCATGACCTTGGTGTCAGCAACAGAGCACTATAGTTACTGAGTCATCGAAGCGAACAGAGGTGTTTATATTTTGCGCTGGAGTTTGAAATAGAAGACAGTAGCAGAGATGGGGACCGAGTGTTTCATGAAGGAACGTGCGTGGAGAACTGGTGGTGTCATCTTGAATGTTCTTCTGCCCTTCTTTTTCATGCGCGGTAAAGGTTATGGCATGCTCGCAACACGCTTTGGCAAGTCTGGCTGTGGCAGAAATAAACGCACACTCAAATTGAACCGGCTGCCACATCCTATTGATCTAGATGAAAGGATCGTGTTGATTGTGTAGTATGGGTGCCTGGGAGTGAAATTAGCTTTGACCATTGTACAAAGGAAGGGCAAAAACCAGTAATGCTCTAAGGGACACTTTTGTAGGAGTAGGTGGCGAAGGCCAGAATGGCAGTGTGATCGGTGGCGACTTACATTGAGAGCACGTCATCGAGCTTATGGTTGAAGCGTTTGGTGAGGCCATTCGGCTGCAGGTGGCGAAAAGTAGTTTTGCAGAGAACAGCGTGGCACTCCTTGAAACACTCCTTGATAACTTCGAAACAGAAGACACCACCTTGATCACTTAGCAGGTCCTGGGGTGGACCACGATTCTGCATGCACTGATGGAGCAGGAAGGACACAATGTCACATGCTGTAGCCGCTGGGAGTGCAGCAGTTTCCATGTACCACGTGAGATAGTCAACAGCGATAATGGCTCACAAGATAACAACCAATGTCACAGGATGTGGCCTGTAGAAATCCATGCCAGTACGCCCAAATGGCTGGTTAGTAGTGATGCGGAACTATCGAGAGCACTATTTCCAATGTTCATAGAATGTCGCGCCACCTAGTGGAATTCAGGAGCGTCCTCTCAATGATGATCAGTAGGCAAGCGCTTCAAATGCTCCGTTGTTCAGCGGTGCTAGCCGGAGTACTAACGCGTTACCAAGAAACGAACACAAACTACTTCGTATGTTTCGTGCATCAGTGAATATACCGGACCGTCTGTGACACGATAAATCTGATTCGTTCTTTCAAGACGTGAAGTTTTCGTATAACTATGCGGCAACACCCGCTTTGGGATTATAACCCGCAGAGTACACATATCAGCTTCGCAAGATTTCCTGCAGCCACTTTGGATAGTTAAATATTATCGTCTGACACTTCCAATCAAAACTCACCTTGTTTTACGTGCGTGTAGCATTCGTCAGTGCTTCTTTAGTACATAAACCCCAGAACATTCATTGTCACAAAAAGTAGCGCAGGTGCACAATTTGTGTTTCTAAACCTCGGTCTACGCTGCTATGCTTGTTTTTTTTCACATTCGTTGATAGATGGCAGCCCACTGCAAGCGATTCCTTTCTTGCTGGATATCAGAGCAAAATTTTCCTCGCCCCCAGATAAATGTGGTGAGTTACACTGAGTTGTGGTTGTGCGTGGTGAATGAACCTGCTACAGTAAGCGCTCCTTCTTGTTGCTGTTTTCAAAACGGATTGCTTCCCCGTTTCGCCTTCCGGCAAAGGCTTCAGCGAAGTCCGCTCGACTGCTCACCACTCTTCGCCACCTCTACCATCGCGTCACAGCAAATTCCTAACAGTGGTTGGCAGCTTCGGGATACGATATCCTACGCTTGGCAAGTCTGATCGGATCTCTAAGCACGAAGACGACCGTCGTGATAGCGCTTGGCTACGCTGAGATACGCTACCCTGTTTTCATCGTTCGGCAAGCTGGGACAAGCTACCCTGGATCTCAACATTGGCAAGTTGGACCGGATCTCTGACGGCCCGAGGACACCCACGACACTGTTCGACGGCAGCCACGAGTTGGACTATCATCGGCTACTTTGATTAGGCGAGTGCCCAGCGTTTACTGTTCATTTTGCCAGACCTCTCTAGCACAAGCAGATGTTAGGAGAGTGTTTTGTTTTGTTGATTATAATTTAGTATTCATGTGCTCTAAACCATGAGATTAGTTTCCGAGTACGGTGAATATCAGTAGCAGAGCATCATGAGGGACGAGATCGCGATGGAGCAGTACTTTGTGGAGGACCACCTCAAAATTTGTGGAGCCATGGGGATTACCGCTGGGTCCGCTAAAACAAAGGAAGCGATTCTCGAGGTGAAGCGGGCAGAAAATGTGACTGCTGATGAGGCTGATGAGTTTTGGGAGCTCATTTGTGAGCAAAAGCAGAAGGCCTAAAAAAGCCATCAAGAGCTCGAAGCTCAAAGACGCGAACAATGGAAGGCCGAGGCGTGCCGAAAAAGGGGAGAGCAGGCTCTCAGAAAGAAAGAGCGTGATCGTAAAATTGAAGCCATTAAGTGGCAGCGAGCCCAATACTGACTCGAAATCTTTGGAATGGACAACATCGTGTCTTTTCTCGTTAATTTTGAAAACGTCTGTGACGATGTTGGTGTTGGACGAGACTTATGGTCGGAGAAGCTTGCCACGTTACTTCCCTGCAAAGTCGCAAGCATTTTGGAGCGCTTATCTGCCGAGGAAGCGCATGACTTTGATAGGGTTAAACACGCTTTGTTCCGCCACTTTGCTGCCCTGAGTCCGGCCGACTGCGAAAGTCGAGAATACAAGTACAGCACTGAAGCGCGCAGCAAAGTGCTCAAAATTGAGGCCCATCGCAAAGCGCAGAACGCCAACGTGGGTCAGAGAGGGCGAAACGAGGTGCGGCGTAAGGCGATAAAAGTGGAAGAGTGTGAAAATGAGGCGCGCCGAAAAGCGCGTAAAGGTAAGGCATGCCGAAAAGCTATGGAGACTGAGGCCTGTCGCAAAGCACAAGCCGCCGGAAGTGCGCCAGAGAGAGCGTGACGCTGAGGTGCATCGCGAGGAGTTACAGGCCGAGGCCCATCGCATAGCTAAGGATGCCGAGGTGCATCATAATGTACTGGAGATGAAGCCGCTTCGCAGCGCAAATGATAAGGATGAATCGCGTCAAAGAGAGCATGAAGCAGACTTCGAAGGCCAGAGAATCAGGGCTATCTCCGACAGTGATAGAGCCTCACAGATCGAAAGCTCTCTAGGCGTGTTTGTTGGCTTTGAAGGCATCGGGAATCTCATTCTGTCGCAAGCAGAGACAGCTAGCAATAGGCCCGAAGAAAGGCTGGCTAGTCAGTCTAGAGTTTTAGCAGTGTCTATCAAAGGCAGCGTACTTGATATTAGGTGTGTCGAAGCAGCCGGCATTCCTAGCCATTCCGTCAAAAGGAGGCATCGGCGAAAGCGTAACACGGAAAAGAGGAAAGGCGCCAAGTACGCTAAGCCATTAAGGGCCATGACGTCATCAGTCGAGACGCCAGTTTGAGGGCTAGGCGTAGGATTGCGAAAAGGCCCCCTGAGAAACGTTTGAAGCTCAGACTGTCACCGAGTTCAAGATTAGGCGGGAAGCGCGTTGAGAAAAACAGACTTTCGGGGAAATTCGGACTCCGAGATCTTCTCCTGGCCTCATCAATAGGGCGCTGTTTCGGCGAACTGTCTCCCCCCTCCCAACGCCACCTTACATGCAGAAGGCGGCACCATGCTGTTCCAGGGATAACGTCTCCTCTTTCTCTGAGCCACCTTGCAGTTCCAGGTATGCCTGCATCTCCTCTGCCGAGCCCCAGGAACTGGTCTGAGAGAAGGGACCAAAGAGGTTATTTAAGGCCGTACCGGCCCCATGTTTAGAGAATTTCGCCCCAGCCGACGTTGTTGTGCTGGCCGGCTCTGTACAATGACAACCTGCTACAGTAAGCGCTCCTTCTTGTTGCTGTTTTCAAAACAGATTGCTTCCCTGTTTCGCCTTCGGGCAAAGGCTTCAGCGAAGTCCGCTCGACTGCTCGCCGCTCTTTGCCACCTCTACCATCGCGACACAGCAAATTCCTAACAGTGGTTGGCAGCTTCGAGATACGATATCCTACATTTGGCAAGTCTGATCGGATCTTAAGCACGAAGACGACCGCCGTGATAGCATTTGGCTACGCAGAGATACGCTGCTCTGTTTTCAGCGTTCGGCAAGCTGGGACAAGCTACGCACAAAGCCATGCGCAGTTCCCCGCACCATGCTTCCTGCCTGGCCATGCATGCATCTTTTCCCTTTCCGTCGAATTCCCCTGCAGACGAGGGCTGAGCTGTGCTCCTAGCGAGGGCGGCAGAAAAGCACCCTTTCTCTCTTCTACCTCGCCTCTCCTCCCGGCACCAAGACATCGTCGCAACCAGTAGTGAGCGCTTCGTTATTTTACTACATCGTGTTTTACCGTCTCATTTGCTGACCGTGACACTGCTTTGACTCACTCTCCACCGCGAAGCTGCCAAGATTCTCCCAGTTAGCTCGTGGCAGTAACCTTTTGCGCTCGCTGCGTAGTTTCATCTTGGATATCTTTGTGTGTTTTGGGATTTCGCTAGGGATATGCTTTTACCTGTGAGAACTGTGGTACCCAACAGATGCAAGTAGTGTCATCTTTTGTTCTCTGCTCGAGTCTCTTATGAATAGAAAAATAAAACGATATATAAACTCCCTATCTCGTCCACAAAAACATGACCGAGGCAGGGCTGTGGTTAAGCCGCTTTTTCAAAGCCAGACCGCGTTGGAAGGCAGCCTTACAGAACAAAACTTGTCTGTTCAAAGCATAGGCAATCTCAAGGGTAATTAATTTTATTAAACTTTGTGACACATGATATATTTTAATATAGTACCTTTGGCCAATGAATGCTGATAAAGCATATAGTTCATCTGCCAAGATGAGAAATTTCTACACGTTCCAGCTATCAAATTGACGCCTTAAGCTACGCTCAAATGCTAATAAGAGCAATAAGAGTACAGCCATGTGAAATGTGAAAAAACAATTATAAGATGCTCATAACATAAGCTACGAATAATTTGTAATGCTGTGGGCTTAGTTGTTTTTTTTTTCATTTCCTTCTTTGGATCACCTATCCTAAAACTTAGTGGTGTTTGCGAATAAAATGGCTCAACATATTGTTTTCTCTAGAGTTCCTGGGGATAACTGACCTAGCTCAAAATCATTTTGGTAAGCTGGTGCATGAGAGATAACGTTTTTCACTTCACTGTGTCTTTTGGGCTAGTATACGGGGAAGGAATTAGAATTTGGGGTGTTGCCAAAACCACAATTTGTTAAACACGGCTTTGTGGTGAAACCTATCAATTTTGACTACTCAAGGTTTTAACTTACTTAAATTTCAGCACACCGGGTGAGAAAAGAATCAATAGTTCGAGTGCTGCGTTTCGGCTGTAACAAATTTTCTACCTTCATATATTTGCTACTGGGCCAATAATGTGTTTGCTAAGCTAGCCTGCTAATTTTTGTTGCACTAATAGATGTCTACTTTAAGAGAACAGTCTGTACTTAACTGTGCCTTTTGGATGTGTGCAGGATCCTGGACAAAGCATCTGACCAGCATCTCAGTGATTGCTTTGTATAATGAAAGTTACAATAAAGCATGCAGGGTTTGGAACAAAGTATGTCATTATTTTCTGTTTTCTATGTGCCAAGTGGTCAGCACACGATCGGAATTATCGCTAATATAATAAAGGTTACGAATGTTCAACACATAATATTTGTTGAAATTTTGCATTTACTTTTGGATGAGCGGTATAATTCATTGCAGACAACACCAGAAACGAAAATGAGTTGACGTTTAAAAGCCTATCTTGTCTCCAAGCAAAATGGATTATCATAATGATAAACGGCAGTCACTAGGTCATTCTTTCAACAAATAAGGCACCAATTTTGCTAGTTAGAAAAGCTCCACCAATCAATTTGATACCATGATGTTCTTCCTATTTGTCACTATCGACAGTGAACAGCTAAATGCACTGACTGCAAAACCCTGGCATGACGCAACGAATTGAATAAGGAACAGGCTCAACAAACTGGTTTGCATGAAAAAATAAATGTCTAGAAATGATATTACAAATATCTATCAAAAAGTTTTTCAGAATTCTGGCAAGAAGTTTACTAGGCTTCTAATAATAAAATTAAAATTAACGTTAGCAAAAGTTATTTTAAAAAGTTAGCAAGAAGTATTTTTAGAGTTCTCGCTAGCAGTTCTCTAGACGTCTAATAACGTGGCGTTAGCACAGCTACAGGAGGTTTTCAACTTGCTTAGGTCTAAATAACATCTCACCAAAACTTATAATATACCTTTGGACTATCCTTTGGACGTATACTAGAAGTTTTCCAACTTTTCTTGTGTTTTTTGGGAACGCTACCGCTACGCGTTCTACGGGCGTTCGTCCCTCTACGGGAGCCCGCAAAAGGTGGACATAAGACGCATGCGCGAAAATACGCATTGTGTAGATGGCGTTACAAAAGTGTGATGTTACAAATCTAAAACTGATTAATGCCAGTACAATTTGTCTACGTCATTGAAACACTGCGAGGTTCTGCCTTTGTGTCTTATGTAATAAGGTCCCTAGATGAAACATGTTTCCAAGGTAGCGACACCCTCCCTTTTCCTCCTCACTTATTTGCCTGAAGCGCCCCCTAGAAGGTTTAAAACTTTCATCCAGAAGCGAATGTTTGGGTTCTGTTGCTACGGTGAATAGATGTAAATGAAACAAAATGGAAGGAAATAAGACGTAGAATAAACAGTTACCTTTATGAACATAAACGGCACAACACAAGAGCAAGCGGGATGTGCGTTACTCAACCGGCAACGTTGGGCAGTTCTATACTTTACACCACTAGCCATGGCGTCTCGCGTAGTACATTTTAGTTCCATGGCCGCGGTATTTCGTCCAGTTCTAACTAGTCCACTTCTCCGATTGTGTTTTGTTCGTGCTGTGACACAGTGAACGTGCTTCTTGCTGGATCCTGTAAGTGGCCACAGGGCGTGACGTTGTGACGATTGATTACAACTGGCTTGTGCACACGCAAGAAAACAAAAACTACGACCAGACTGGTACGAACACTCGTCCAGCAACACTGCGATGACGTTTTTGTTTAAATGTGCCCATTTGGACAATCGTGATGCCAAGTGATTCTGTTGCGGTGCTGGGAACTTCCTGAAAAGTGAGAGTTCGACTGGTGAGGTGTCTCGACTCAAGGCGCGTTTCGGCTCAAGCGGGAATTGGTCAAGAGTGAAATGTTTCTGAAGGTGCGTTGGTTACAACCTACAGCTGTTCTGTATACGTGCATACCCACATGTATTTGTACCAACTGGCATGCACTAGACACGCATTAGACGCGCGCCTGGCGTTTCAATAAAAACCGACAAGTGAACTCGCTTCGCAGATCCGCGTCGACATACGTTGACGGAGTTTCACGAAAGCATTCGCGTGAAATGGTTCATAGTTGCACTTCATGGCGCGCTTCATCTCGGAAAGCACGAGGTAAGTTGAAGAGAGCGAAACCATTTTCTGTTGTTTACGGCAACGCAGCATTGCTGAAAAACCCAGATGTTGCATTGAACGAGCATGGCGAAACCATCTCGGTCGACTTGGCGCACACCGAAACCCTCCTCCTCTTCAGTTTATGTTCTGGCTACGATTTTGTCTTTGGTCACGGCGAGAATCCGGCTGGAGCCATATGCGCATGCGTACTCGTTTTGAACCTTTTGCATAATAATAAATAACACCACCAGCCATTTGCAAGATCACGTGCAAGTAATGCACCAATTACAGACGCGGATATCAGAGAAAAAGAGGAGTAATCGAGAGAGTGAGGAGGACGGCTCGAGAACAATGAGTGACGCTACCTTGTTTCACCTAGGGAGCTTATTACGTAATTTTGGTATTACTCACGCATTTTGTGTTCAAAATTTTGCGTCGGTGGAGTTAAGCGGTAGCGTGCACTCGTGAAACTTCTTGCGAACGAACGCTCCCATAGCGATGACGATAGTTATAGCGCGAGAACAAAACGACGACACAGAGACAAGAAGGACACGAAAGAAGTCTCTGTGTCGTCGTTTTGTTCTCGCGCTATAACTATCGTCATGCCATATCAACTAGCCCAAGCTGCCACACGCTCCCGTGGAGAAGCAAAGGCATGCAGCCTCAAAACTTTCACACCACTCGGAAAAAACGTCACATCTCAACTGCTTTTGTATCCCATGTCTGATACATCTATTCTTATTATACGGAACAAGCAGTTCGTTCATAGACTTTCATACAACCAAACTCTACGAAGCAGTTGATGTGCACGCTTGTACGGCTCCACTGCGGAGCAGCAAGCCACGAACGGCAACATGTCTTATGCATCGATTACAAAACAATCGCGTCCGGTGTATGAAAAACCGAAGTCTGAGCTCACGCGAAGTCAGGCGCTCGGCCTCAACTGCACAACGTGAACAGGGATACCCACCAGTGCAGGAACGAGGGCCCTCATTCGCGGTACCACCACAGAACACCTACCACTGTTGCACAATTTGATGGCACAACCATACGAAACTCCATGGGCACAACAGCCTCAAATTGAACAGCTGAGAAGCGCTTGGCGGGCCACTGCGTGCTGCAGCGACTGCAAAACAAAACCAACAGCTTCCGTTTGCTAATGACGTCACCAGAGACCACCTGACGTGATGTTTGCAGTGTCAACGCCTCCTCTAAACAATGCCTGGGGAATGGCTCGCACTCCCAGCGGAGTTGGCCTGCCTTCAGTTTTGAGCAAACGCCGCGCGGTGGCGCTCGCGACCAAACACCAGGGAAGGTGAAGCTCTTGGACTAGGATTCAGTGTAACGAAGTGTGGTTTGATGGTATTTAATGATCCCTGTGATCAGACGGTGTCCATACAAGGCCAAGAAATACCGAGGGTAAGTGAATACAAGTACCTTGGAGTATGGGTAAATGAGAGTGATAGATACATGGAGGTACAGGAAAAAGCCTCGGCAGCAAAAGGAAAGAGGAATGCGGCAATAATGAAGCACAGAGCGTTGTGGGGATACAATAGGTATGAGGTGCTTCGAGGTCTGTGGAAGGGTGTAATGGTTCCAGGGCTTACTTTTGGGAACTCAGTGGTGTGCATGAGGGCAGAGGTGCAATCGGGAATGGATGTAAATCAAAGGACTGTGGGACGCCTCGCGTTGGGTGCTCACGGGAAGACGACAAACGAGGCTGTAAAGGGCGATATGGGGTGGGCAGGTTTTGAGGCGAGGGAAGCGCAGAGCAAAATAAGGTTCGAAGAAAGGCTAAGAAATATGAAGGAGAGTAGATGGGCAGAGAAGGTGTTCCGTTATTTGTATAGGAAGAGCGTGGACACACAGTGGAGAAAAAGAACTAGAAGACTCACTAGTAAATATACGGCTGGTATTGTGAGCCATATGTCAACAAAGAGCGTTAAGGGAAAAGTCAGGGAGGCGGAGAGGATTTACTGGATGGCAGCTATGGAGAAAAAACCGGCTCTGAGTAACTACCGAAAGGGCAAAAATGAAATAAGGAGGGAGGCATTTTACGATAATTCAAGGGGAAGCGCTTTACTGTTTGAAGCGAGATCGGGTTGCCTTAGAACGCGTAGTTATAAAGCAAGATTCAGTAAAGAAGAAGAACAATGCACATGCTGCGGGAAAGATAAGGAAACGGCGGAGCAAGTTCTGATTGAATGTGGAGATATCCACCCAGGTGTACGTTTGGGCACGAGCCTACAGGAAGCCTTGGGTTTTAGGGACAACAATGGAAAGCTGAACACACCCGCGATTGAAATAAGTAAGAGACGGTTAGAGTATTGGTGGCAGAAAATTAGAGAGAAAGGACAAAAATAAATATTGGAAAAATAAAATATGGACAGTGTGCCGTAAATGGCAGAGAACTTAAGCTGAAAATTTACCTTTTTTCCATTAAGATAGAATTTATCGAAGTAGAGGCATTAGGCCAACATAAAAAAAAGGGAAAAAAGGTTTTTTTTTTTTTGTCGAGCCTGGTGGCATACTTGTCACCACCCCGTTATAAAGGGGACGCTCATAGCATCCATCCATCCATCCAGACGTTCCTGAACTGAACAAGAGAGTTCAGTTCAGGCTGTCAAGGTGGATGGACGTGTTTTTTGAGCGCTCCGGATCGACTGCGCAGATAAGTGTTTTTGCATGTTTTGAGCTAGTCTTTATAATTATAAGGCAGCGGTTGAAATCTTCGTAGTACTTATTTTATGGTACGGCTTTTTCGGGGGCCAGACACCAGGTATTTATTAGTTAGTGCGGGTGTGTGTGTTTGAAATTTTTTTGTTTTTTTTTTTGCCACCCCGTGGGGGAGGTGCGCGTACATTGAACACGCAAATTTTTGTAGTAGAGCTTAGACTTTCCTTTTTTTTTCTTCGAAGTGCAGGGCTTGAGTTTAGTAATTATTGAGTATAGGGACAATTGGTGTCAGAAAGGTATGGTTAAAAAGACCGTAAAGTGTTCAGGATGTGGAGTGGGTTTGAAAGTGGACCCAAGCGTAGAAGCGGATGGAGAAGAGGCTGGCGCGAAGTGTAGGCAATGTGAGGTCGAGGAAAAAATGGAGAAAATGATGGTTGCCCAGAGTGAACTGCTCAGGAGAATCGCCGAGCTCGAGACTGCGGTGGCGACAGAGCAAGAAAAAACGAGGGCAATGGGAGAAAGACTGAAGTCCGCCGAGGAAGCGCTAGCGAAGCTGAACAAAGAAGCGACCTACCGAGAGAACAGTAAGGAACCGGCAACGAGAACGGTGGAGAAGGAAAAGCAAGCAAGCTTGGAAAAAAAATTGCCCGCAGCTTCCCTCGGGGGAACACTGAGGAGGATGCGGACCATATAATTGGTTAACGGGGTGTTAAAGTGCGACTTACTTGGGTCGATGGCTGAATTGGTTAACGTGGTTGTGAAATGGGGTGTTAAATTGCGACTTACTTGGGTCGATGGCTAAATTGGTTAACGTGGTTGTAGGAGGGGGTGTTAAATGAGTGAACACGTACACACGTATGCGAAAGGGCGGCTCTGGTCGAAGGGACGTCGATCATTGTGTTTGTGGATTCGTTGGAATTCATTTCACCGCGACCTTGGACGTCGACGCGCCGTACAAACCAACCGACGAGCGGCAACTGAGCGAGCGAGCGCCGACCTTGAGTATATATACAGCACGACGGCGCATGCACTGTCAGCTGTTGAATGTTCTCGAAGCGCGACGCCACATGCGCGTCCACTGGAGAATCAGGAGAATTGTAGATGTCGAACGCGGTGTGTAGAGGAGGAAGGGTGCACAGATGGTGGAGGAGTGAAGCGCGCGCGGTGTGTAGAGGAGGAAGGGATGCACAGATAGTGGAAGAGTGGGCGACGGCGCGACGGCGCATGCGCGCGCGTCAGCTGTCGAATGTTCGAGAAGCGGTGCGCACGGCGCGGACGGCGCACTACAAGGCGCGAGTATAAGATGCTCCGCATCTAAAACAGGTTTAGCCGGTTCAACTGTCGCAAGGCCCAGCTTCAGCGAGGTAGTGGTGGGGCAGGAAGGGAACAAAGCAGCCGGCGTCACAGGTGCAAGTAGCCCCCAGGTGCAGAACGCTCCAGCTGAAAAGTCACAGCATGTGATAATAGCCGGGGACTCGAATTTAAATCGATGCACAGAAGCCATCAAAGAGAGGGTAAGAGGTGACAAGAGGGTTGCGGTAGGGGCGTTCCCAGGACGCAAGCTGGAAGCAGTCATGAGGCAAGCGAGCGCAAAGCTCAAAACGACAGCTGATAGACGAAACCTCGTGATAATTTCAGGCGGTTTAAACGATGTCCTCAATGAAGATGCAGAAGGACTAGCAGCCACACTGGCGAAAGGCGTCGATGACATGCGCGCCACTTCTCCTAAGGTACAGGTAGTTATATGCACGATACCGGAGGTACCGGTGCGTGATAGCAACCTGCAAAGAGCGGTGGTCAACGCAAACCAAGAGATATGGCGGATGAGTCGAGAGAAAGGCTTTGAGGTGGTGGAAATAAACAGAGAGGTGCATGGGGGGGGGGGGGTTTCAACAAGACAGAATTCACTTCGATGGGCGGCTAGGTCATGAGGTGGGTTGGCGACTTGCAGGACGCGCAGTAGCTTTTTTGGGGGGCAAGCGAGCCCTTCGGGGTGCAGGATAGCTAGTAACGAGGAAAACAACCAGGGAGACTCTTCGACAGCTGGTATGGACAGACACGATTCCAAAGTGGCACCAATATCTAAGATAGGTAGAGTCCGGGGCATAAATAGACGTAGCCACGAGCGCCGAGCCAATTCAGACATAGCTAGGGTATATTAACATGCAGGCTGGTACGAACAGGCTGAAGTGGGAAGAGATAGAAGAACAGCTAAGGGAAGAGAGGCCGATGGTATACGGTTTTGTAGAAACACATCTCAGGGACACGGAACAACCTCCGAACAATCCGGACTACGCGTGGGAATATTGTAACAGAACAGAAGGCAGCAGAAAGGGTGGTGGTATTGGGGCATTCATTCATAAAAGTACAGACTGGCAAAGGGTCAAGCAGGAGTGCAAGGAACATTTATGGCTAAAAGGGAAAGTGGCAGGTCAAATGACACTCCTTGGTTTCGTGTACTTGTGGACGGGAGCAAAGGCCAGAGAGGAAAACCAGGCAATGGTAGAGTGTATATCAAAGGACATTCAGGAGTTAGGAAGAGAGTGCGAGATAATTATACTAGGAGACATGAATGCGCACATAAAAGATATAGATGGGTATACCGACCCGACAGGCAAAATGATCATGGATATGTGTGAAAGGCTTGATTTGATCATTTGCAACAGTACCGAGAAATGTGAAGGGCAAATAACATGGGAGGTAGGAAGGCTGCAGTCGACGATAGATTATGCACTGATGTCACATAGGATGTATGATAAGCTCAGGGGAATGCACATAGATGAAGGTGGCTCCAAAAGTCTGGGTAGCGATCACAAACGTATCAAGCTAAGTTTTGGAAGAGCAGTGAAAGTGGGAAGGAGACAAGATGAGCAACTACAGAAAAATTTTTATCCAGAAAGGCAAATTGAAATAGCCACTAAACAAATTGAGAAAGTAATCACGGAGGATAACAAGACAGTGTGGACACACACGAATCTAATTAGACTCTTTGAGCTAGAGCTTGCTAAGACGCGTGACAAATCACCCCGGAAAAGAAGACACAAACCCAAAAATTGGTGGGATGAGGAAGTCAAGAGAGCCATAGCAAAACGTCAGGAAGCCTCTAGGGAACACAGACATGCTAAGCAGCGGGGTGAACCGACAGATGATGTTGAAAGAAAATGGGCAACCTTTCTAAGCTGTAGAAGGGATGCATCCCTTCTGATCAATGAAAAGATTAGAAGGAAGGGAGCTCAGTGGCTGGCAGAAGTACATAAAAAAGATAGAAAGGCAGCTGCGAAATTTTGGAACCATCTAAACTCCCTAAGAAATGAGACGAGCCTAGAGCAGAGTTTTATAACTACAGCCCAAGGTGCTAGGCTAGAAGGGGACGAAGCTATTGAATATATAAGAACAAGGGTGACAGAAAAATTTCAACAAAGAAGTACTTTATGCACCACAATAGACAAGGACGAATCAAGTGGTGCAATGGCT